AGATGTTTGGATGCTGAGGTAAGGATTAGCACGTACTTGTTCTTCACTTTCTATTTTCGGTGCTTTCACCTTTACCTACTCTTGAGGTATAAGCGGGAAAAATGAATACCACTTATACACGTGGGAAATCATAATCCATCTCCAAGCAAAAATTGGCTCCATGAATGCTCGAAAAGGAGGAGAGTGCGGACGAGAGCCCCAAAATTCAAAAAGCACACGTCCGGCTTGGAAAGCGGCGAAGTGGCACGGCTATGCCAAGCACGTGACCTACTACTAGGCAACGGTTGTGGCAACGAACTCGTCCGCGCGCTTCGCTTTTCCGAGCATTCACACAACCAGCCAGCGCCGATAGGTCCAGCAGAAGTATGAGAACAGCTTGGAGTCTGTATCTATGTGCCATTGTGATTGAGAAACTAACGTAAGCGACTCACAACCGAGGTAAATTCATCAACACTCCACGATCGGTCGCCTCATTCCGCCAAATGGTGTTTTGAAGCTCACTTCATTTTGTACCATAGAGAAACTATGACACTGAAAGAAATATATGAAGGGATCTGTGCGAAAGTCACACATTGCCCGCAACCTAAGGTTTAGCAAGTGCAGAGTTAGCCAAACACAAGTTTCAAGAATGACGCTGTGTTTGAGAAAATATCTTATAAACAGCAGAGCAGAGAAAGTATCGGCACTGATTCAGCAATTGTGACATCTCAAGTTGCGGGAAACAAAGTATAAGTCACACTCACCTCCTCTCTGCCTACACGTGGTTGAAGCATTCTTCCAACAAAAGCGCCGGTGGACCTTATTCTGCATTTTCGTACCCCATTGTGAGCTTCTTTCAGCATGTAAAGATAAATCATCCATAGTAGATCGATTGTTCTGAAATAGTCCAGAAGCTAGATGACTTAGGAACTTTCAGAACACCTGGTTATGAATTCTCGTAAAATGTTCAGAGAAATTTGATCAAGCTTTAAAGTATTGGAAGTGGGAGGGGGAAAGGGTGCATCGCGGCGCAGCAGTTCAGAAGGAGAGCTCCTGCTTGTGTGAGCCATTTTGTTTGTGCAAGAAGGGAACTGAAGCATGAATCAAAATGAATATTTTTCGTAGTATTGAAAGTCTTAAGTGCTCTGCGCCGCGATGCTCACTTCCGCTCTCCCCAGTGGGGCACTAGCACTAGCACACTACCCTTGACTGTTCAAGAACATTCTGGTTACCAATCTATTTAGCGGTATGTTGTTCATTTTTCTCTCACTGCTGGAATTGGCCGTTGTTGGATTCATGTCCCGAAACGAAGGCCTGCCCCCGAAGGTCAAGAAAAAGCGGAAACGCGAAGGATCAGATGACGAGTTTTCTTGGAAAGGCATCCAATCAAGTCCTCATTGAGCTACCGGCAGGTACGGCGTACGTTTTTTACTTGAGTTGCGCGCAGTGTGTGAGAGAGCTTTATAGTTTTTCCAGTTTGGGTCGCACAAGGCGGATCACTCTGATTACGTAATAGCTCGGATGTGGGTATTTAGTAGTAGCTTAGAGCAGCGCAATCATCCAAGCACATTGGACTTACTGTGTTTGCTTCAGTTTCGCGTCGTGATCGTAATCCGCCATGGCGGTGAGGCCAGCGCGTATCTCACCAGTCAATAGATCTCGTCCACAACGCACTTGTACTCGCAGCATACGAAGGGTGCGGTGAAAAAGTAATCCTAGGACCATTACGCGCCAGAGACGCGTTTGACTTCTACACGGCTGGGTTACTTGTTAGCCACTGCGACGGCGGCAAGGACTATGCGACTTTCTCGGTCAGCACAGCATCAGCGGGCCATTTATCTATGGACCAGACAGTCATTCGAGTGTGATCGCAGTTCCGCTGGAGCGCGGAGCGCTGTGCGATGGAAATGTTCAAGTCGATGTCGTTAGCCTGAGCGTGGGCGCGCGCGCTGCGCACTTGTCAAGTTCGCGTTGGGATACAATAACTGTCTTCGCAGCGGCGTTATCTGATCTTCCAACGAAGTATGTCGAGGGAACAGGCGTGAGTCCACGCAAATTGCGTGATCAGTAGGATTGACGCTAAGAGGACATTTCTCGCGTTTGCCAGCGGGGACTAAGGTCCACGATGATCATGACGTGAACCTGGAACTCCAGCAGCGGAAAATGTTCCGCGCTGTAAAACGCAGAAAAAGTCGCTTTCTGTCCCAGCGTACCACACCACCTATCACGTGCGGTGGCCGCGACGTCAAATTCGTGAGCATTGGCTGCTCAGGCGGCGAGATATGAACTGTACGTGTTTGACTGTTCATATCTTATCCAAGTCGAGCTGCAAACGGACTGCAAGTGCGATGCTTCTCCGCGATCCACACCACAACACAAAATTAGAGCTTATCCGGTGAAAAAGTGCTGTAGCTGGCTGCTCCAATTTTCCATAAGAATTGAGCATAGGGGGGGGGCAACAATCATGACAGTCGCACTGCACTTACACAAAACAAAGGTCGGCTGTTATCAGTTTTCAACAGAACCTGCAGTGACGCTCACGTCCTTGGGGAGGGGAACGTCCACTACAGGGCCTGGTAGTGTAACTAGAGTTAAGCCCAGAGCGAGGACAAGCCCAGGGAGCACATGTTTGCTCGCTTCCTCAATCCCTTCCCCTGCCTAAGGCTAAGTCCCAAGCACAGTACTTGGCTCACTCACTTGAATGTGCCCCCCCCCCCCGAAGAACATGAACGCCCCTGCAGTCATTGTAAGGCCGATGTCAGACTTTGCGAATCGCGCGATTCGCTAGCGTCTGCGGTCGCGTCGCGGCCAGTGAATCACTCAATTGGCTGGTACCGCAACGCGACCGCGGACGCTAGCGAATCGCTAGTAGCGAATCGCGCGATTCGCAAAGTCTGACATCGGCCAAGAATTGTAGAAAAGTATTCGAGTTGTTACAGTTGTATCAGTTGCGGCTTTCTTGATAGCTAAGGTGTTCCTCCACCTCTTCATGCAGCGCGCGACAATGATTAATGTTAAGACGCAATTTCCCTTTGCCATCTATAGAGGCAGTAGAAGCCACTCCGTCCCCCAAATATTTGAACATTAGTACGGAATTATAATTTGATAACGGTTTGACTTGACTAATGTCCCAATTTCAGTGCCATCTTCTTTCCTACCGCGTACTGTATGTTCAATGTGACGTAAGTGTATAAATTACAACTCAAATTAGCTGTACTTGCTTTTATCTACCACCACTTTCAGTTACTGGGGTTACTACTTGTCCAGTCTTTCCGCTGTCGATGAGGATGTTGTGCCCGTTTGAACAGACACTGTTTATATTGTTTTTGAGATATTGTTCTAAATAAATCTATCCGCACGTCTAGAGTATGTATGAACACGCAATTTTATACTACTGGACAATTTGTCCTCAAGTGAAGTCATTCATTTATTATGCTAATTTAATATGAGAATAACGGAATGGAAGGTGATGTGTAAAGATTTCTTCGCTGGCTTTAATTAGAAGCTTTCTCCTTGTAATCATCACTTTCTCTGTCATCATCGGCGAGCGATTCTTCTGAAGCAGAAGACGTGGCGGCGACATTTTTAGACCTGGCAGGCGTTCTTGGATACCACAAGGCATCGCGTATCTGAGCTGTGTAGTAGAGAATTCCACGAACAAGATTCAGAGTCATTGTGAGGCTCTCGGATTGTAATGTGGGTCCGTGGACTACAAGCTTCTTCTCAATTCTTTGCCTTATAGCCATGTTTGCCTCAGACATTTCCTCTACGCGGTTGATCTGCATACGGAACTCTCACAGACAGTATTATATTACATAGCCGAGACCAACCTGATCATTCAATTCTGCCTTGTTGCTTTGACATCGCTCCGCAAATCGGAGCATAGAAGACTCCAATTCGGACAACCGCTTCTCGTACTTCTCTTCCCAATTTTTCACAGATTCTCTGATGCGTCGAATTTTTTCGTCCTAAAATATCTCTGCATATAGATCGATGTTACGGGACTTGATTGTTCTCTCAACTGATACTATCAATACATTCAGTATAAACATTCACTTGTGTACTTTGCCGACTGTATGGTTAAAGCAACAATCCCAGGACGAATTTACGAGGTAAAACCGTTGATAATGTAGTTATAGCCGACAATTTGACCGATAGTAATGAAAAAACCAAAGAAAAACGCCGAATAGGGCTTTAAACAGGAACTCACTCTCTGCCGCTTAGCGATGAGAGAAGACGCGTGCTGGACGAGTTGTCCGAACCTAACTTAGCTAACTTATGGTCGACCTCTCTCAACCAGTGAATTCACCGCGAATACTATGTGTTCTGTGAAACAGTTTCTATTATATTAGAGTCATTTGCCTAGAAGGAGCTACACACCTGCTGTACCGCAGTGCGGCGGGAGAAGGATTCAGGTTCGTGGAAGGATTCCCAGCATGGGTGGTTTGCGTGAGCGTAAGTCATGTGTCGAGGGAGCCTACTTGCTCCAAAACTCAGCCAAGGGAAGGGGAACAGGGTTTATACTAAGGTTAACTCAGAAACAGGAAAAAGTTGGTAAGTTCAGAATTCTGATTTTCCTGTGGAGTTTCCGTGAAATTTTCGTGAAAATTTCTGAAAAATATTCCCAAAAATTTCGCGGCTGTACCTAGCGTGTCTTCTTACTCTAAAAAGGTAACCCTTTTCCATCTATTCTCGACACTGGGTGGTGGAACAGCCAGCTTCAGACTCGTTCAACGGCAAGGCGTCTTCTAAACGAATAAGTCAGCAATTCAATAACAAACGTTTAGCGAGCGGGCTCAGAATATGAACTGCTAACATCATTCTGAAATCATCAATGACTAAGAAAGAATATATAGTCGATTTCTCTGTCACTCTCAAGTACGACAATTTTCAAATTTTGCAAAACTTCCTCATGCTATGGTCATCGAATATTACCTTGATTTCTTGTAAAATTTTATTTAATTTCTCCAGCCGACGTTCTAATTCGTCGTCACGAGTGTCGCTCCATGAAATCGATTTTCAACATATGCCTGAGAATCAAGTAGTCACGCAATCAATCAAGTACTACATATATGCTCCCCCCTCCCCCCCCTTCAAAAAGCGAGAAAGTGTCGGGTGCAGACCATGCACCACAAGTGACGACGGCCTTCACAAAATGTTAATGTTTTCTGCCAATGAAATGATTAGCCTGTTGCAGTTGTATTCTATCGATTGTCACTAATTACAACTATCATTTACCAGAAATCAGCTATCACTATGAACAACTTCTAACCAGGGCGGTATTCAATCCTTCCCCCAGGGGGATATATCCCCCTACTCTGATTCAATCCTCTGGGGGGACAAAAAAGGGGTTGCGTCATAGGACCTCGCATACCTCTGTGTTTCTACCTGCCAGACAGTTAGAGCAGCGCGACCCCTCAGGGAAAAGAGTGCTTCATCAGTGGAGGGTAGTAGCGCTGCTCTAACTGTCTGGCAGGTAGAAACACAGAGGTATGCTAGGTCCTATGACGCAACCCTTTTTTGTCCCCCCAGAGGATTGAATCAGAGGAGGGGGATATATCCCCCTGGGGGAAGGATTGAATACCGCCCCAGATTCACTTGGAGGCCGTCGTCAGATGTGGTGTTTGGTCTGCATCTAAAACTTTCTCGCTTTTTGAAGGGGAGGTTAATTATGAAAAAACAATTACAAAAATTCGAACTGACATCTACGAAACATCATTTATGAAGTTCTTAAAGGTGAAGTTCTCCTACTTACCCGGGGACAAATTCCAAAGACTTCTCTTTGGGCGGGGCGTTGGCTTCGCCTAGTATGGCCTCGCCAGGAGCCTCAGCTGATAGCGATATTCGTGGCTGTAAAGTTCCACAATCACGGCATGTGGCCTCGAAC